TTGGAGCAATGATGATGCAATCAAAGTCCCTGATATCAGACACAGAGCTGTGCTGTGTAGTGTTTGTCTTGCTAGGCTTGGGTTTGGTTTGGGACTGATTTTTTTGTTGGGCTCCCATTCCCCCATTTTGGGAATGCTCACTCTGTGTGTTGGGAGGTGCAGCTCATGGCTTGTTTGTTTGTTTTACAAGGGCTCACAACCTTGAGTCTCAGAAGAAACTTTAGACTCTTAAACAGTTAGAACTGTGAGGCTGGGGGAACCTTTGAAGATAGACTGAGTACATATTGCATTAGGAGACGTCCATAAGCCTACAGCAGCCAAAGGCTGAAGGTTTGGGTGTACAATCTTGTCCTCGGGCTCATGTAACTGAACACTTAGTCTTAGCCAGCTGTGCTAACTTGGGAGGTGGGGGAGCCTTTAGGACAAAGGGCCTCCTTGGAATAAGTGGGTCCCTGGGAGACATGGCCTATTTTCTGTCCCTCTGCTTCCTGATCTACTGAGATGTGGACAAGCAGCTGCCACACACTCCCCCATTATCACAGAGCCACGCGCCGCAGGCCTCCTCCACCATGAAGAACTATATCCCCTCAAACCATAAGCCCGACAAAACCCTCCTCTCAAGTTGCTTCTTGTCACAGCCACAAGAAAAGTAGCTAATACACTTGCCGTTAATACCTTCTTGCCGTCTGTTGAAATGACTGCTTTGCTGCTCTTTTTGTTCTAATACATGCTTAGACACGAAATACTTCCGGGAGTGTTACCCTTGACTTTGACTATCAAAAACAAACAAATGAAAAACCCAAAAAGCAAAGCCACGGAGGACTCCAGTAGAACCAGTCTGAAGATATAGCAGGCTAAGGGGGCGGTTGGGAGTCTAATAACAAACTACATGGAGAGTGAGGTATTTTCCCTATAAGATGGAAGATAGCAGGAACCCAGCCCTTAGGTCTTCTGTGTCTGTATACAGGGACACAGGGGCACGCGTGTATGGCCAGAGGTCAAACACGGGTGTCATTTCTCAGGTGCCATCCACCTTGGGTTCTTGTTTTGTTTTGAGACATGATCCCTTATTGCCCTAGAGCTTGCTTGCTGAGTAGGCTGGGCTGGATGGCCAGCACGCCCCCGAGATCTGCCCATCTCCTCATCCCAGTGCTAAGATTATACGTGCACCCGCCACATCCAACCTTTTTATACGTGGGTTCCGAGGGTGGAATTCAGGGCCTCAATGAGCATTCTGCTGGCTCCCCAGCCTCCCATTTCTTAAGTCTCAAGGACGGATCAAATCCAGTCAATCTTGACCCTGACTCAACAATTGAGTCTGTTGTAGCAGAACCGTATAAACCTATGTCTCACTTTTTTTTTCTTTTTCCAAGTGAAAAGTCTTAGCAGTGTGGCACAGGCTGGGACTTTGCCACTCTATAAATATCCATAATGTATGATTTCCTCCTTTGACTCTGGAACCTAAATAAACAGATTATGTTCCAAAAATTCCATAAAACCATAATTTAGTGGCCACAGCACTCCTAAAGAATCTCATTCTAAATATAGAGAGGTATTCCTCTGCAGAAAAATATCCCAGCAACTGGGTTCTAATATATAATTAAATCCTCTAGATACTTTGCAGTTATGTTTTATGGCTTATTTTGAGTGTTCATATTTTATCAGAAAATTATAATTTTCCTCTAAATAGGAGTTTTTACAAGGCGTTTGAATTATGATGGCTGGCTTCGTGCTTCAGCTATAATTAAAACAGTGAAAGGAAACACTGGAGCCCCAAGGCACACATGGTCCTGCAGAGTGCTTGGTCCCAGAATCCTGCTGCATCCTCAGAGCTGGGGCCACACTGACGAACAGGGAGGGCACCATTTGTAACCACAGCTGGCATGGCTGCCTTTAGGATAGAAGAGTGGCCTGGGGGAGGAGGGAACGGAGAAGGCCCTAGGGAGGGACTCCTGTGTATGTTTCTTGGCTCAGTTACGAAATGGCTTATTCTCAGGACCAGGATCTTGACCATGTAACCCTATAACATGCCCCCACACCCCGTCTTCCCCTTGAGAAACTCACTTTCTCATAAGCTATAATGAATGATATTCACTCTCCTCTGCTTCTCCACTCGACCGTCAGCCTCATGAGGGCAGTTAACTTTTTGTCAATTTGGCACAAGCTAGAATCATCTAGGAGGAGGGAACCTCGTGTGAGAAAGTGCCTCCATCAGATTGGTCTGTAGGCAAGGCCGTGGGGCATTTTTTTAAAAAAAAACTGTTATGAAAGACTGATGTGGGAGGGCCCAGCTCACTGTGCGCGGTCACCCTGGGTTATATAAGAAAACAAGCAAATCGGTTAGCAATGTTCCTCCACGGTCTCTGCCTCAGTTCCTGCCTCCAAGTTCCTGCCCTGACTTCCCTCCATGATAGTAAGGTAAAATAAACCCTTTCCTCCCCAAGTTGCTTTTGGCCACGGTCTTTGTCATATCAATAGAAAGCGAACCAATACAAGGGCCAACGCCGAGTGCTTCCTGCTCAGGACTGTCTGTAACAAGTTCTTGAACATTCTGTATGAGTTTTCTGGGAAGACCACAGCTGAGTGTCTTATACTGAGGGACCCACACCCAGGAATGCATTCTGTCACAGTTCTGGACAGGCTGGAAGTAGGAGTGAGGTCAGGGTTGATATCATCTGTGATCTGTCTCTTGGCTTAAATGACTGTCTTCTACATCCCCCGTGGTCCTCTGTTTGCATGTCTGTGTCCTAATCTTCTTTTTTTTTAACCATAGCTGAGGACCGAACCCAGGGCCTTGTGCTTGCTAGGCAAGCACTCTACCACTAAGCTAAATCCCCAACCCCCTGTGTCCTAATCTTATAAGAATATACAGACACCAAACACACTGGACTAGGGCTCACCATAAAGGCTTTATTTATTTTAGATACCTTTTAAAATCCCTATGCCCAAATAGGGAGTTCTAGGGATCCAGATTTCCATATTTAACCTTTCAGGAGGTACAATTCAAGCCAGAATGCCCATACTGGGCATTTAGCAAATCTATGTTGATTAAGAGTGAAACAAAGACACTCACAGGCCTACCTCCAGACACAAGGCTCACACATCCGCTGTGCCTGTTGAGTCCCTCCAACTCCCATCCACTCCATGCCATAGGCACACTCACAGACCTACCTCCAGACACAAGGCTCACACATCTGCTGTGCCTGTTGAGTCCCTCCAACTCCCATCCACTCCATGCCATAGGCACACTCACAGACCTACCTCCAGACACATGACTGGCATATATGTAAATGCAGATCTCATCCTTTGCTTGACAAACGTGTATCTCACCCTTCATCAAAGGGGTTTCCTTTTGCAGTCAACAGAGACCATTTCAGAAAGCCACAACTGGCCAAAACTCAAAGAACAACTAGCCATGGGGTACCCAGCCCCAGCTGATAGACCTATGACACACACCCCTACACCTAAGGCTCTGGGGACACCAGAGGAGTGGGACAGAAAGACTGTAAGAGCCAGAGGACCTTCTTCGAGATAGTGTCTTCTACACGACGGGGAAGCCGCATCCAGAAACTCTCAATAATGCTGTTGCCTAAACAAGGCTTGAATAATGGCAAGACTGTGGGAGGAGTAACTGAAGGGGAAATCATAATCAGAATATATAGTACAAAAAATATTTTTTTCAATAGAAGAAAAATGACAAGGCCTAAAAAAAATGACACCACCAGTTGACATACCAACATATATAGGGAAATCTCACAAGATTCCATCCCTAGATGAAGAGCTACAGGCAACTGACAGATGCTGAGGGAGGGAGACTTGGCCTTCTCCAAGGATGAGACCTCCCCATAGGTTATCCGATCCCAAAGGTCAGCTCTGAACACATCTGAGCAATACTAAATGAACTTAGAAACTTATATGTGTGTGTATCTATAATTACAAAATAAGATCATGAATTTGAGAAGGAGTCATTAGGGATGCGTATGGGAGGAGAAGTGGGGGGATGATATAAATACAGTACTCACATATGGAATTTTCAAAGTTAAAGTTAAAAAAGAAAAGGAAAGCCCAGTGAATGCTGGAACATAGAACCATCATAGCAAATGAGCTCTTAGAAGCCTCTCTCCTGGGTGCCTCTGAAGGACACTTGTTCAGCAATCCTTTCTCTCACCTCCAACATCCTAAGGACATGGGTACACAATTCTGTCATCTCTGAGCCAAACCCAATCAATTCAGACACCCCAAATCTCTTGCCCCAAAATCCAGATGTGACCTTCAACCCTAGGAAACGCACTTTGGTCATTGTCAGAGGGCCTCACAAGGGGCCTCAGGGCACACCGAGGCCACTGTGTTATTTTGATAATGTTCTCACTGTGACAAGGCCAGCAGATCTGTCCATCTGTCCCCTGTTGTCCTCAGCTGTGGGTCCTAGATCCTTGTCCACAAACAGTATAAAGCTTCTCTGTGACCTTGCAAGAGAAATCTAGGTTTGGGTTATTGGTGGAGTTTAACAGGGGTATTCACTATGTCCTTCAATTACCACTGTCCTGTTTTCATTCCGCAGCTGGGATGAGACACTCTGACCAAAAGTAGCTTTGGGGAGGAAGGGTCTGTGTGGGTTGTGCTTCCAGACAGATCACAGTCCATCACTGAAGGAAGTCATGGCAGGAACTCCAGCAGGGTCTTGAAGCAGAAACCATGGAAGAACGCTGCTTGCTGGCTCGCTCTTGGGCTTGTGCTTAGCTGGCTTTTTCTACAGCCCAGGACCACCCGCCCAGGGAGTAGTGCTGCCCACAGTGGGCAGGACCCTCCTCCATCAATTAACAATCAAGATAACCCCCACAGACATGCCCACAAGCCAATGTGATCTGTTCAATCCCTTGATTGAGATTCAGAGATTCTCTTCTCAGATGACTTGATTGACAGTTGAAGCTAACTAGGATAGCCACTGAAGTGGCTTTGGCTCCCTGGATGCTAACCCTCTGCTTGTCACTTTCCTTTAGGCCTCAGGTCTGGAACCCAAGCCGGTAGCAGACAGCATCCTGTTGTTACGTGACAAAAGATGGGAAGAAGTCAGAGGTGCCCTGATGTCTGCTTTCAGTCCTGAAAAGTTGAATGAGGTAAAAGACAGGAAGCAGATTCTTGCTCTTACAGAACAGGTTTCTCTCCAAAGTGAGGCAGAGATGGACCAGGTGCAAGGCCTGCCCAGGTGGGACATCAAAGTGTCTCACCCACTGGGGCCCTCGGCCCATCCATTAGAGAAAGCAAAGTGTCTTGCATTTCTCTGGTGTCCCACATGCCCAGGTACCATAAATCAATGGTTCACACTGCAAGCCTAGCTCTGTCCCAGGACACTGCTTGAGGCACTTTGAGAAAAACAGAACAGTGTTTGTCATACTTTCATGTGTAATTGATTGGGGAGCCTGTTCAAATGCAAACTCCCACCCAGGAGGTCCTGGCCTGGTCTGAGATTGTGAACTTCAAATTACCTGTTGGGTGAGGCTGTTTTCTGAATGGAGAAGCACTTTGCAGGGCTGAGACGCGTCTTAGATACAGAAGTGCTGGCCTTGTGTGATGGGGAAGAAGAGGTGCTCTCCTTGCAGAACTCTAGGAGGGCAGCCAGGCCAAGGTAACATCAGGCTCCATGAGATGTTACAAATGACTCTGGGCATTCTCCTTTCTCAACCCAATGGCCCTCCCTTTCCTATCAAAGCTGGTGTTGGCATTTCCTCACTGCCAGTGTCTCCAGCATCCATTCCCAGCTGCTTGTGGAAGAAGGCCCAGGAGATAACAGACAGAACAGGCTGCCCAAGAAGTGTGTCCTGACTACCTCCTTCCCCAGCAGATGTGACCCTGATGGCTTCCAGATGCTTCCTTGACCTTTCACCTCTAGCTCATTGGTTCTCACTATGGGACTAGGGGCAGATTACAACTTGTTGGCTATAATCGCAGCATTGGTGAGGCAGAGACAGGAGGATTACAAGTTTGAAGTCAGCCTAAGCTACATAATGAGACCTTCTCTCAAAAATCCAAACCAAACAAACTAAAAGCTAGTTCTTCTTGGCTACTCCAAGTCACATGGAATTAAAGTGTCTGAGGTGCCTGAGAACCTGTGGGTCCCTCCAGGATTCTGCTAAAGCCTGAATTGGACAGCCCCAGGGTGGGGGTGCTCTGCCCGGTCCCCCCACCTCACTGTACCACACACCTCTCTGCTGCTTTCCCAGGCCCGGTCTTCTGTGTCTTATCTCTCCCTGACTCCAAGGGGCCATTCAGTCTATGTATTTACTGGGTTGGTTGTGTGCCTCATCCTGCTTCGTGGATGCTCCAGGGGACAAAGTTTTTTCTTTTTCTTGTTACGTTATCTTTGTAACTTTTCGCTGCACACACAAGGTATATAATAGGCACTCAGTAATGGTGGCTCAGTGGACGGGTGAATGCTGTGTGACAAGAAAAAAATAAAAGGGAAGTCACATTATCAAGAAAAAAAATCAAGGGACTGGAGAGAGGGCTCCAGGGTTCAGAGTCCACATTGCGCTCACGGAGGACCCAAGTTCGGTTCCCAGCACCTACACGGTGGCTCACAACCCCCTGTAACGCCAGCTCCAGGGGATCTGATGCCCTCTTCTGGCCTCTCTGGGCAGCCACACTTGCATGTATGTACCCACACAGAGACACAGACGCATAATTGAAAAAGAAAAGGCTAAGTAAGAGGATGTTGCAAATTGTTGGCCTTCTCCTTACAAACTCATAGGCCATCCACATGGAAGTAGAAACAGCAGGTCATAAAGAGACAGAGGAAAACCAGACAGTGCAGGGATGCTGAGCCCAGGCCCGCAGCTACATGGAGAGAGCCGTTTCCAGTCCTTCCTGAAGCAAAGGCTTTTGGACTTCTGTCACCAAACTTCAGGGTTTATCAGCCCCAGGGTTTATTCTAAATAAACAAATACAAAGTCTGCTTTTCTTTGGAATTGTGAGACTTTTCCTGTGGGTGCTCACAGAAGTTTCCTTGTGAGATCTGAGTTTGCCTGACACAGAAGAGCTGCACAAGGGGATGATTTGACCACGGGCAAGGTCGACAGGTGGTTGGAAGGGTCTGCACTTGGCTGTACTGGGGGGAGGTCTTTTTGCTCCTCCCCTTGGCATTCATATAAAAGCCCTTTGGCAGAGACAGTCAGGGCCTGATGGATAAGGATCCAGGCCCTCCCGAGGCTATTCTGTGTTTCTGTCTGTCTGTCTCTCTCTCTCTCTAGCTATCTTTCTATCTAATATTTCCTGCTGCTCCTGCTCAAGAGTACCCTGGGGAAAGGTGGGGGTGTGATGACCCCCCCACATTTTCCTTTGGCACTTTGAGAGCTGTGGTCCTCCCCACCTGCACCCGAATGCCACCCGCCTCCTTCCCTAGAACCCTGTTGATTTCTGGAGGCCTTCTTAACCTGAAAGCACCCCTCGGCTTCATCTGTCTTAGGTTAGGCTGCCTCAGTCAACAGTGCTCGGAATCACTTTATGATCAGCATTGTGTGTGTGCATGCATATGCACACATGTGTGCATGCAGGTTTCTATGGCTTTTGCTTGCTTGTTTGAAAAAGCTGGGAGTCAAGTGAGGTCACATTTTCATTTAAAAATAAATTGCTTTTGGCTTTAGTCTTAGTGGGGATAATATGCAGAGGTAAAGCCAGAGCAAATGTGATTGATGCAGCTCGCTTCAGGAAGAAGGACCAGCAGGATCATAGGATGGTGATAGACTAGTGGTTAGGATTTATAGAATGGATTGCTGAGTATTGCTCAGTATTATTGTTGTTGTTAGAGAAATCTTGCCTGGTTAACCGCCCATCCTCCAAAAATGTTCGTGCTTTGAAAAGGGCAGCTGGGAGATTTATTTAGGTCTTGACAATCTTTCACTAGATTCCTTACCAAAGGCTGTGAGTAATCCTGGAATCGTGTGCAATTTTATTGTGAACCAGGAAGTAAATGGATTTAATTTCAGGAAATAAAATTGAAACTAAATCCATACTTCTCCAACGGAAACACATAAATAATGGGATGCCCTCAGGGCAGGTTAGTGCTTTTTTGGTTTTTTTTTTTTCTTTTTAAATGTCATAACTAATCAGAAAGAGGGAAGGTATAGTGGAACCCGCACATCTGTGTTTCCCTCTACACTCTTCCAACTTGAAGGACTAACTTTCACAGACTCTCGTAAGATTGCGTGAGTCAGCAGGAGAGTGGCAGGTGACCTTCGGGTACCCAAGAGGAGAGAATGCTTTGAGGAGGAAGCAGGCAGCTGCATTGACATGGTGTTGAGTTGGGCTCCCTTCTATTCCTGGGATCCTGAATGCCTCCTAAAGGCCTGTGTTGTAAAGGCTATGTAGTAAAGGAGGTACATCCCTGAAAGGGGACTGTGGCATCCCAAACATCTGATTCCTTCTCTTCCTGGCTGTGCAGTCAGAGGTTTGGCTCTGACACAAACCCTAGCTGGCTGACCACGAACTGAACCATCCAAACCTGTGAGCCAAGAGAAACACATTCTCTGTACAAATTGCTTGTCTCAGGTGTGTTTTCGTAGTGGCAGAAAGCCGATCAATACCAAGGAAAGGGATCTGAAATCATTGAGGATGAAAAGGCCTCCGTGGTTGAATAACTCGATGAAATATTACCAACTATTAGATTCACCATGCACTCTAACACATTAAGAAGACATTTGATTATTAGTCTAGCTTTGTTTATTCTGGACTCATAGTTTAAAAAGGTAAAAGCCTGGGGAGTTAATGCCATAGTTTGTTATTGAGCAAAATGGTGCTGTTGGATAGTAGGTCTTTGCAATATCCACTATGAGCCTCACTTTTTAGTGCTTCAAGGACAACAAGCCCACATGGCATCATATTAGTCAACTTTGCATTGCTACAATAAAATACCCATGGCAGGTAACCTATCAAGATAAAAGGTCTAGTTAGCTTGTAATTTAGCAAAGTCAAAGTCTAAAATCAATTATCTCCACTGGCTTGGCCTCCAGGGAGAATGGCAGATGGTGGCATGTCATGACAAGTGCATGTTGGAACAAATGTTCACATCTAGAATCAGAGCAGAGACAAAGACAGACCAGGGTCCCACAGTCTCCTCCAAAGGCATGCTCCCTGTAACTTAGCAATTAAAGGTCCACAGCACTTCCTAATACCTCGGTCCTGAAGACCAAACCTCTACACATGATCTCTCAGTAACAGTGTTAAACCCCTATCTGTTCTGTCTTGAGAATCTTCTATCAGTGGTGAACATTTGCTCCCTCACCCAGATAACCAAGGATCCAGCAGATATAAGAGATCAGGCAACTTTATAAGTGAGACCCGGAGGATGTGGGTGTCTCCCCAAAGTGAATAAGCCACTCACACATGGATACCAGTTTCCACAATGTGAAACAAACAAGGAAGGCTGGCATCTTGCACAGCACCAAGGGCTGCAGCTCTCTGCCTAATTTTTCACTTTCATCCAGATGTTTCCTGTCGGGAAGGCATAGTCAATAATGTATGAGTCTTGTAGACAGAGGCATATGTGCTTATTACTCCCCATAGGCCCTTCCTGCCTGGGAGAAGACGTACGACTCAAGAATGGCTACAATTTTAAAAAATTCAAGTGGATACAGCCAGCTTATGAGTGAACGTGTGGCGCGGACCATTTCAGTGTGAAAGTCTTTGCACAATTACAGCCATCATCGTGGCTTTGGGCTCCGTTTGGCCCTTAAATTCCCTGCATAAACTCTTCAGGCAGTCGGTGCAGGGACTTCTACAGCAGAAGAGTTTTCCAATAACTCTGGAGCAAGCAGCTTTCTCTTGGCAGCGTCCCTGCCGGCGGGTTACTTTTAATATTTGCTTTTATTTCTTAATCCTTCCGAACAATAAAAATAAAAGTCATTATAAACCAGAGTAGCTGTGGTAATAAATACTTCAGAGTCCAAAAATACATTGCCCCTGTCTGACCAGCTGCCCATTTTCCAGGATGTCTGGGTATTTATCTGGCAGCGTGAGACCATTATCCTGAGACACAGTTGTATCCCTACTGACACCTAATCTTCTAATTAAAATCAGAATAATGACGGACTGTTTAAACTCTACTTAAAAAATGTTCGTTTTC